AAAAAGTTTGCGGTAATTTCAGCACCACAGCGCTGAAACACTCAATGCTTCTGATAACCTTGCCTTCTGTGCTTTGCAAATACAATAGGTAACACATGCTGATGACTGTAAAATTCAACGCGATTAATTTGGTACTTCTGGCGGCTGCGGTCAGGCGCACGCACCGCCGTGTGTGTTAGAGTGAGACGCACGGAAAGAGTTTCAATTTGAGTTTCGATGTTCAATTTATTATAAGAAACTGATAAGATACTGATTTTAGTTGGTCTAAATTAAGTAGGTTAGGCACAAATTTGCTTATATGGGTTCCCTTCTAGACACGAGCGCTGTGTGTTTGTATGTGCTTCATAACCGTGTACCCCAGGGGGCCCGTCATAATAGCCTGCACTGGGGCCCGTCATTACTAAGTTACGCCACTGGCCATTAGTATGTTCACCAAAAAATGGTTTTAAGACAGCTATTTTTATATCTTTTGGTGTAGTGTGTCAGTATATCAGTTTACATTTGCAAACATTCATTTTGCCATTCATTGTAATAATCCAGTGAGATATTTGTATGTTTAGGAGTCTGACAACAGCCAGTGCTGTTGAAAATACTAATGGCCTAAGACTTTTGTACACAGTGCTGTATATATATATACATTTTCATGTATTATAAAATGCATACATTTATACAAGTAACTTAAACAATATCTTAATAAAGAGTCCTTCAAGTTTAGGCTCTACAAGAAAAGTAGATGACAGTAACATGTTATTGTTCAGAGGACAAAATCCACTCCAGTGTGATTCTCCGAAAGGAATTTGCTAATGAATCTAAGATAAGAACATAATTCTTTCACGAGTCATCTGATGTCCACGCCCACCGCTATCCGAATCTTACTAAGCGAAAGGATGCGCTCATGAATATTAATATAAGGCGCGCCTTTGCTGTAGTACAGCTGGTACTTTAGGCCCCGCCCCGTGTTCTCTAAACAGAGCGTTTCGCCCGCCCGCCTTCCTCAAGCGACCATTTCTTCCTGTGAGACAGACAGCAGCGCTCTCGTGTTCGACCGAGCCCTCTTCACACAGGCATATGGCGCAAACAGCCTCCTTTCTTTCTTCTATTTGTGTCCCCACCACTCTTTAAAAATTCCGCCGAAAAAGAGAAGACGATTTTCCAAATCATTCAGGCCGTTATCTCACGTAAGTACCGCGTTTGTTGATGTTTTTAGTCTTCATCCCGGAAAAATCCGCCGTCTGCTGTAAGGAGCCGTGACACAACATGGCGGTTGCTTGTGACTACGCTTGCGCTTATACGGGCAACAGCAGTGCTCCGTGAAGGACAACGAGAAATAGATTTCAAACTCACAGATTATTAGGATTAACTGTGTTTATTTATATAAATCATTAGTTGTCGGAGCATGGCGGGTTTAGTTGGCTAAATAGTGAGTTGATTCAGTGGACAAACCCAGGCGCTTACGACATGTGCTGTCAGGTTATTGAATGACGGGCGTGTTACACATTAAATATAAATACTGATTTACTGTGCTCTAATATCAGATGAGACATGCATATATATATATATATATATATATATATATATGGTAATACAATTGCTAACACTAGTTAGGTGTGTTTAAAATGTTGTTTTCCTAAGAAACATTTGTTTTGGTAAAACATTACCTCATACCAAAACACAAGTCACTTTCATGCTTATAACGTTACCATAATAACGAAACAATAGTCGGAAAAATATATATTTTTAATAGAACGGTTTATTGAACCTTTAGATAAAGTATAAAACAAAACAAAATCTTTACGTTTTTTTTTGCTATATATCAGGATGTTAAGACCCATGTTGTATGATATAGTGAGAATTTGGAGATCAAACAAGAGGAGGAAAAAACACCCCACTGATGATGTTGGGTCATATTTGATACTCATATTTTAACATGAATTTTCTTAGAGGATCAGTTGGCTTTAGTCCATTCATTGTTCATCTTATGATGTTACTAACAATATAAAAGTTATTTTTACCTTATCAAAATCATTAAAGATTTCACAGCAAAAACACGTGTACCATTTACTTTGTTAAAAAAGTATGAACTATCAATTATGACCCACAGCATGTAGAAGGTTGTGTGCAACAGGTTTTTCCAGCCAAATTTGGATGATGTTGATCTTTTAGAGGCCTTAGAAATTCATGTTCCAAATAATATTCTACATTAGACTTTATAGGGTTAAGGTGGAGTCCACATTAAGAAACAAACACCATGACCTCTGATAAATGTTCAACAAGTTACTTCATTTATTGACCCCATGTGGTAAGATAAAGATAAGACAGTGTTGTTTAATGCTTAAAAATGAGCACACGGAGTATCTGATCACCAGGTCTGTTTAACTAGTCAAGTACAAAGTACAGCTGTAAATAAGTGGTCACTTAATAAAATCATTGTAGCCTACAAATAAAGTGATGCTGAAGACGTATAATGTACCCATATCAAGAAAACTGGTTATGTGTCTGTCAAGAGTTATTTTGGAAACGTACCAACCTGTCTGACTACATTTCTGTGCTATATAAGTTTATTTTATCCATCAGCTGCTCTTGTAAATCAAATATTTATGTATACACCTGTTTTTGTGACTCAACAGGGCTCCCCACTCTCTCTGCGAGTGTATAAGCGCTACCCAGAAGGCCTAGGGGAGGCCCTCTACCGCGAGCAGTTCGACTTCAACGCTGAGCCGCCTTGGGATCCTAGTTGATAGCGGGAGAGGACCATCTCCCACGTTGTCCATGTGAGTCCATAAATATTGGACACATAACCTCCTGAAGTATTGTTTAGAGACAATTACATAATAATATGATTTATTTAATTACACATGAAATCTGTGTCTGCACTTACCCAACTGTAGTGGATAGTTTTTGGTTTTACATAACACTATTTATGGCTTATATGTAATAACTTTGTCCCCCGCTCATACTGCACAAATCCATTGTTAATACCATCAAATGCTTCATTGTGCTTCAAAGCCACAGGGATTTATCTTGATTGGGTCTGAGTAAAAAAAAATAGCCTGTAGGCCACATTCTTGAAGCCTGTGTGTTGTCGGCATCTCTAAACATAGACTCATGTGATGCCTTCTCTAGTTATGTGATTCATTTTCCCTGCCTCTTGTATTTATTAGCCTCATAGAAACCCAATTTAGATCAGTGATAGCCTTACAGTGACTTTGACCTTCCTGTTCAAAGTTTGCTTATAAAACACTATTTTGAAATATGTGGGTTGTAGTTGTACGCCTTGATGTAAAGTTTTGTGTGAAAACATAATGCTATTCGTATGTTATGAAAGTTGTTATGAAACTACTATGCTATGGTTTCCCCTGAACAGTTTGTTGCATACCCAGAATACCCCAGCGGCTCAGTAAACTCTCTATGATTGTCGGATTTGCGGAATACGGTTGAGATGAAAGGATTCGTTGATGCACCAAACTACTTCATTGAACTACTTGAGTTAGGAACGACCCTTGACGATGTTATCGACAACCACGTCTATGAGCAAAATCTGGTGAGTTCAGAAAATCAGTCTCCAAGTAAATGTCTGACTGCATTATGAACATCTGTTTTAGTAAACAAATGGAACAAGTTTCTGTCTTTTTCATTGATTGATCTGATTTTGTTTGTCAGGCTGAAAAGAATGCATTTGTTGTGGCCGACCTTGGGGCCCTAATGCGACAGCATGTTCTGTGGAAGACCACTATGCCTCTCGTTCGACCCTTCTACCCAGTCAGCTGTAACAGCAGCCCTGTAGTCATTGAAGTCCTGTCTGCTCTTGGCGTTGGTTTTGTCTGTGCAAATAAGGTAATTGTTTTTTTTTTTTATTCTTACCTGTAGATATTAGAAAGATCTTGAAACATGTATTTTGAAAGCACACCATCTAATAGAAATGTTAACTTCTTTCAGGCTGAAACCACATTGGTACTCGATCATGATGTCCCTCCTGAGAACATCATCCTGTCTGGAGTTTGCAAGCAGCTTTCACTCATTAAACACGCGGCCAAGACCGGCATTAACTATCTGGTGTGTGAAAATGAGGCAGAGCTTCGCAAAATTGCCCGTGCCCATCCTGAGGCTAAGTAAGTCCTTAAAACATATCATATATATGTGTAATGTACATTAAATTAAAATGTGTGTATGTATATTTTATATATGTCAATACAATTATCTTTAAGAAATTAATACTTTTATTCAAACATTAAATTGTTTTCAACATTGATAATAAGAAATGTTTCAAATCAGCATATTAGAATGATTTCAGAAGGATCATGTGGCACTGAAAATATATTAAAATAGACATATATTTATATTTGATATTGTATTATATGTGACCTGTGCTGGCAAAATTAATCGGAATGCGCACAGACTAATTTTGAGCTACAGGCAAAAAAGTGAAAAATGTCAATTTTGCTTGCATTTGAAGTTTTCACAAAAATGAGATCATTAAGCCCTTGTCTAGCGATCCGAATGTTCCAGATAGTAATTAAACATATAAAATTATCTTTATTTGTATGTTTTCTGAGAGGTGTACCTATCTCTCTGCTCGCTTCTTGACGACTGGTGCTTCCTCTCAGCACAAGTTTAACATTGTAAAGTGCAGCATTCCAGCTTTGTGAAAATTCATAGCAAGGATGCATTAAACTGATTAAAAGTTACAGTAAAGACTTTTATAATGTTACAAAAGATTCCTATTTCACATAAATGCTGTTTTATTTCTTGGTTTGGTTTCCATAAAAATAGTGAGCAGCACAGCTTTTCAACATTGATAATAAGAAATGTTTCAAATCAGCATATTAGAATGATTTCAGAAGGATCATGTGGCACTGAAAATATATTAAAATAGACAACCGTTTTTAATTTATAATAATATTTTAAACTGTTGTTTTACTGTAAAAAAACAAAAAACAAAACTGATATAGCAGCATTCCAGCTTTGTGAAAATTCATAGCAAATTCTCGATGGCATGAGTCTGAACCAGTGAAATGTGATGTTCAAACCCATGCTGATGTAAACAAAACGATCGCGCTGACTGACACATCCGAAGCGTGCACATAAAGACTGTCTGTCTCATTAAAGTTAATATAACAATTAAAGACAAGAGGGAATCGCTCGCTGCTCTTGATTGAACCGCTTTTGTAGTTTTAATAATCAGTTTATTTGTAATGAATACACTAAAGTGATTTTTACATTTGATTAGCCTATTTGTTTTTCTTACTTGAATGCTTCTATTTAGATGTAAGATGAAAAAGGCACTATTTAATTTTTTCTTTCTTGTATTATAATTGTTCTACTGTTTATTAGCATTTTTGTTCTAATTATTAATAACAAAGATAAAATAAAAAATAGCTATTTGTGATTATTAAAATAGTAATTATTAAGAAAAGAAGTGGAGGAGAAGATGCAACGTTGCAGGTGATTTTGTTTTGGAACCTTCAGAAAACTTGAACTCGATTTTTCTCAAAATTGCCTTTGCTGACTCTATGGACTTCAAACAGGTGTAGCTCATTCATTTTTTGGTTGATTCCAACAAATCATACATCAGGCCAGCACAGGTCACATTTTATTTATTTATAATAAATGTTTATTATATATTTATGTTATTCTCTTTCTGCACTTTTCTTGTCTTAACAGGCTTTTGCTTCAAGTCTCTACTGAAGCACAGGTTGAGGAGGCAAGTCTGACCATTGGTTGCTCCCTGAAGAGCTGTAGACACCTTCTGGAAATGGCCAAGGAGTTGAGTGTGAATGTGGTTGGAGTCACGTAAGTCAAGTGATTTGGTCACCACTAATCTGCTGTGGCTCACTTTGTCTTGTTAAGAGTTTTTAGAAAGTGGGACTCTTTTTTTAAATTTTTTTTTTATTTTTTTATTTTTTGTCAGGTTCCAGGTACCAGCATCATGCAGAGATCCCCAAACATACACCCATGCACTGTCAGACGCCCGCTGCATCTTTGACATGGCAGTGAGTAGTCGTACAAATATTATGTGATAATTGAATTGATTTATCAGTAAATTTCATGTATCTGTTGGAGTGCTGAGTCTTCCTTGTTACTACAGAAGGAACTTGGCTTTGACATGAAGATCCTGGATATTGGTGGAGGATTCAGTGGTTCTGAGTTTCAGTTGAAACAGGTACGGCAAGTATGTGTCTCATTTGTTTTTCTTTTTTGAATATCATCCACTTACTCAAAGCTTTTCTTTCATTTCTCTTTGATCAGGTACATTCGATCGTCAGACCCCTGCTGGAGGCCTATTTCCCCTCAGCGTCTGGAGTGAGCGTCATTGCTGAACCAGGACATTTCTTTGTGTTTTCCTCCTTCACTCTGGCTGTCAATGTTATTGGCAAAAAAGCAGTATACCGGGATCTCCATTGCAGCACACATGGTGAGTCCAATCATATTTGAAATATATATGGCATTAAGGGGATAGTTCATCCATAAAAGAAAATTCTGCCATTGATTACTCGCCCTCATGTCGTGTGACCTTCGATCATCAGAACACAACATCCAGTGGGGACATAATTACGGATTATAATGATTTATACTTTTTAATCCAATGTCCAGAATGGTATTTTTTTCGCGTTGCATTGCATTGTGCCACGTAAACATAAAACCATGTCTGCATTTGTGATCGGAGAAATGACAAACAACAAGCACTACTCTACACTGCTCAAAACTCACGTTTGAATCGTCAGTGGCAAATCCTTAAAATGAAAACTTACTTTCAGTCTGTGAGTCAGAACAGTCGGCATTGTACTCTACTCTTCCAGGATCAGGAAACAGTCCTCCATAAAATGCGCTGCACACATCCGAATATTTGGGTTGAACTGTTCTGGAACAGTGTTGTAAATACAACTTAACCACTGATTTCTAGTCGTGTCCT